ATATATATATATATATATATATCAAATTAAGACTTTTTATTCTAGTATTTAAATTTGGAGGGTTGTGTATCATTCGACTATTCGATTGGTTGAGCAGTCCAAATTGAGACTTTTTACACTCTGGTACTTGAGTATAGAGGGTTGTGTATCATAAACTCTTATTCCGACTAACCAGGTTGGGCTGGGAATCTTTGCATTCTAGTACATGAGTCTAAAGGGTTGTGTACCATTCGGATCTCTAGTTGACTGAACATGTCAATCATTTAATCACTAATAGGTTTTTGACTATGTTGGCTGGATAGTCAACACCAGATAATCAATGTCATGATTTTTGCATAAGCTCAATTATGATCGTGAATATGATTCATGGGCTCATTATAGGATATAAAGGCAACGTGCATTTTATGGGATCGTCATTAAGAGTGACAAATTTACACCTTCAACATGATACCTACCTATATAAAGGGTCAAGGGTTTAGAATATGCTAGATTACACTTATTGAATGTTCTGGACGTAGATGGTCGTCCTTCATATCGAAACAATTTGGTGCTCACCATGGGGCACATGTAAAATTGTATCTCACACTTTGATTGCCTGACATGAACAATTATTCACGATGACAAGGCCACTAAGAAGCAACATTGGTGTTGGAAGGAATGGTATACGAAATTGGCAGTAGTAATATCGATGGTGCCAATGTACACAACCCTCCTCCCTAAATAAACCTACATTGCAAGAAATTATGATCACGATGGAAGCTTTATGAAGATTTATTGTTCAGTTATTTAGTCGGTCAACTAGGTTGAACTGAGATTCTTCACATTCTGGTGCTCAAGCTTGGAGGGTTGTGTACTGTACGACTCTCTTTCGAATCAACCAGATCAATTGAGACTCTTCGTACTCTGGTATTAGAGCTTGGATGGTTTTGTACCATTTGAATCTCTAGTTGATTGAGCATTCTGAACTAAGACTCTTTTCTTGGTGTTCAAACTTGGAGGGTTATGTACCATTCGACTCTCTAGTTGACCTAGTAGTCCAAATTGAGACTCTTCACACTTTGGTACTTAAGTCTGGAGAGTTATGTACCATATGACTCTCCTTCTAGCGGACCAGGTTGAGCCAAGACTCTTCCATTCTGGTGCTCAAGCTTGGAGGGTTGTATACCTTTTAGATCTCCAACCGACTGAAGAGTCCAGCGTGTTATGTCAAGTATTAACGTGACATGTAATGCAAGTCTACATTAACATGGCTTCCTCCAAAATATTCCGAATTATTTGACACAAATTAATGTATTAATTAACGCCACGGAAAATGTCACGAAATATCAAGTATCCACATCACACTCTTAAAACAAAAATAAAATTTCAGGTGAAAATCAATTTTTAAAACGGTTCTTACCAAAGTTAAATTTTTACTACAAAACTTAATACGTATTTGTAACGCATTACTAGTGTTATTTTAACTTATACATATAGATGTTTTAGACTTGTAATTAGTTAATTAATTACCGAATTTGGATTTATTATAATATCTGTTACACAAAAAGTATATTTTAAACTTTTTTTATCAGTATATTTTAAGAATGAGAACTTTAATTTATAACATAGTCATAAAGGTGCATTTGATTATATTTATTTGATTATAATATGGAAAAGTTTAAACATAATGGGCAGCTTCATATCTGTACAATTTTCGGCGTAGCGTTGAGTCAGCTTCGTGCATGGAATTTGGACTTACGAAGAGCATGTAAAACACTTGTAATTCGTATATATTTAAGATAAAAATTAACAAGGTTCATGCATGTTGTACAAATTAAGACGTGTACCATGAAGAAGAATTGAAGAAGAATGTGTCAAAACAGTTTGTTCAACATCCATTTCTCAACGTGAGACTTTGACTGCAAAAACAATGGAGAAGATGTAAAAAGAAAGAAACAAGAGACGTAAAACATACAATAAGATAAATCAACACACATTCCAAACCCCTTCATTCATGTGAGACTATGGATGATTTAGAATGAACAACAAAAGTATTCATTTAGTAAACTTATTGATTAATAATTTAAATTAATAATATTAGCATAAGTTACAGAAATTATTTGAATAAATTAAACTAAAAAAATTATAAAAAGATCATAATAAGAACTTTCATATACGTAAATAATTAGTTACATATAAATTCTTTGAACTCCCAATTTTTGTTCTTGATTTCAGTTTGACCTAGCAAAACGTGTAATGTTGATAACATAGGAATTTGTAATAATGTTGAATTCGATATGATGACATTAAAAATCAAAGAAAGAGGAAGTTGGAAAAGTACGCGCACTTTGTGATGGAACAAGACTTACACAGCCTAAATACAAAAGGTGTAAGAGGCTACCCGTAATTCGGGGACTTAAAAGTGATCTAAATCGATTTAATCACTTTTTGGATCAAATATTTTTACTGGTTTGGTCATATTTAATTCAATTCGATCAAGCTTTGATATTGTATAGGTTAAATAACTAGTTATATATTTTTTTACTTAATCTAATTTAACTCAGTAATAATAATAATAATAATAATAATAATAATAATAATAATATTATTATTATTATTATATCAGTATGATTAGTTGCTCAAATAATACTCTATGGCTTTTGTTTAATAATGATGATAACAAATTTTATATTTTTAGATTGATAACATTATAATAATATAATCTATTTATTTTAAATTATATTTTATATTAATATTAATTATTTAAGTCAATAATAATATAATAAATTAATAAATTAATTTTAAAAATTAATTTATATTACTATTTATTTTAAAAAGCAATAATATTATATTTATAATAAGATATCAAATAATTTATATTTATTATAAAATATTTAAATTTTATAATAAATAAAATTATATTAATTTGATTGACTTAATTTAATCTAACATATTTATCGTCGTTGAATTTTAAAAAATATATATAAACTCAATCCAATCTATTAAATTTTAATCAAATAAATAATACATTCTTGTAAAATTGATCAAACCCATGGCGTCCATCCACTTATATTCCTAATCAACGCGAGCATATTTGTTTATTTATTTATAAACATCTGCAATTACATTGCATAGTGTATCTCTTAATAAACCGACAAATATTTGAATATCGACAAATCAGAATATCAACAAATCAGATGTGACGCCTACACTCCATTGATTGTGCTTACACAGGCCACTATTGGGTTGGATTCAAATAATTCTTGCTGATCCAATTGGAATGAGTGAGGATTTAACGAGTTTTTAGTTCGAGCTAACTCAATCTAAAATTAATATTAATAAAATATTAATCATATAATTAGTTGAGACATATATTATTCACATAGTTTATATTAGTCTTGTTTAACGTGTATTAATTATATAATTTGTTTAATTCTATTTTTTACATTTAAAATACTTTAATAAATCAACACAATTACTCAACCCAACCAGAATTGGATTTCACAGAAAATACAAACCTAACGACCAATCCACTTATGTTTCATTAATCAAGACATTTACACTCTTACTAGTTACTACTATGGTCCGAGTGGGGTAGTGTTTACAGTGAAATTTTATAAGACATTTTCTATAGGACCAAATTAGTAGAAGTTATACCTTTTTATCAAATAATAATAAAAAAACATTCCATGAATGATTATGTAAATAATAAATCTTATTATTGATATCCCTAATTATGCAATTTCAATTCTTCTAACATGTTTGATTTCGCGGCAAGTCAAGAAAAAATCTACATTAATTTTCACGTCTATATTAAAACTACTCTATATAGTGCATGTTTGGATTAGATTTTTAAACGTGATTCTACATTCTCTCTCTACATTGAATATAGATTTTACGTGAAAGCAAAATTTTTTTACTTCAACTAAACGTGAAAATTCACGTTAGAATTGAAACCCAAACATGCACATAACCTTAAGTTTTCACACTGTTGATCCCATTTTTTGGTTCTAACTCTAAAGAAAACAACTTTTTCGTTAAGCATCTAAGCCAGCATTTGATGATAAAATTTTAACTTTCAAATGGCAACAATAAATGTTAATAAATACGTAGACTCAAAATTCTATCCTTATTGTTGCTATTCTAATCTTTCATACAGATACCAAAATTAAAATAAATGTCAAGTAACTCAGTTAAATATTTAACAACACGTTATCTAAAAATACGAAATCTTATGTTAAGCAATTAAGTTATTCATCTAAAACTATCATTTTATCATTTTTTTTTTAAATTGCAGCTATAAAAATAATTTTCAATCCTTTGAAAGGGTTGCATATCAATGGGGAATTCCTATCCTTACTGGGATTTTTAGAAAAACCTGTAAAGAATGCTTTATATTGCTGTAAAATAAATTTGTACATAGCAATCAATAAATGTGAATCATCATAACTGCAACTCATGCATCAGCTTTTAAACTGCAGCTGATTCTGTTCAATCCATCCAACATGATGGTACAGATAAATACAGACATTGGAAGCCACCTTTTGCTTTGACACAATACAATATTTTGTGCAACATAACCTCCAAGTTTTCGGATATTTTCACTCGGAACTTGGACACCCAAACCTCTCATTCTTCGCACACTGGGCCTGGCAAAAAAACTATCTAATAAGTCCCCAATATAGAAACGAGGCAGAGAATAACAGCAAGCAATTTTATATGAACAACGAACGAAGATTCCAACGATGAAGAACGTAAAATCAAACATGGATCAATGTCGTATGTGCATCGGTCGTATATACTCTCTTAGTTATGCTTTATATATATATATAAAGAATTTAAATGACACCGATGTAATTTTTACTAATTATTACACCATTTAATAATTTTTAACTAAATGTGAATTTTGACGACCTAACCATTAAATTATAACTTCATGTATATTAAATTTTGTTAAAATTGATCAATAATTTAAAGGTAATCAAAATGTTTATATTTTAATATATTTTTAAATATATATATTGTGTTAATTTTATTTTATAAGAATAATGTATCAAATCATCTTGAATTAATATAAAATTTTGCATATATAATCTAAAAGTAAGGAACTTTCAATCTAACAGTAAGTTTTGAAAAATTCACATTTAATTGAAAGTTATTAAGTAATGTAATAATTAATAAAAGTTATACCAATATCGTTTGAATCCTTTCACTCTTTCTCTGTCATTTTGTCTATCTCTCTCTCTCTCTCTCTCTCTCTCTCTCTCTCTCTCTATATA